GCTGGAGATAAAGGCTGGAAAAAGGAAATTCTAGCAATGTAAGGCTCTTACACCATGAAAGCATCAATAAAATAGTAGCTATCAGAGTGCTGAAATTATTCACAGATCATTTCTAAGCCTGCAGCTCCAATTGCCAGATCAGTGATGCCAGCTCATCTGCCTAGTGACAGAGAGGCATTTTTTTAAGTGAAGCATTTACTTCTAGTCATATGCAAAGTCAGAACAATACTTCTATCCATTTCTCAAGAATTGTACCATTTCTTCTGCTAAGCTTTGCTTCATCTTGCTGCCATCAAGTCAGAGAGGTTTATCTCAGTGACATAACAATTTCTGTGGACAAAATTTGATAACTTTGGAACAAGCACTGTATAAAAATGTTTGATGCTATTCTCTGAGCAAGAAAAGAACTCTGTGTATGTTTGACTTCATGGTTTTGTCTTCATGTACTAACTACTAATGCACCACTATGTTCAGGACTGAATATAGTGACTCCAGACAGACTTGAGGGAACTGTATGGTGACATGAAACGGAAATAACACTCTGAATGCATTTACAATACCATAAATAAAGCACTACCAACCACACTAATTTGTCTTTTTATCATCTCCGGGTTTCATCTCATCTTTGGTCAAAAGATTAAATGATGCAATTGTAAGATTTTTTTTTCAGTCTTTAACCAGACTCACAGTTAGTTTTGGGGTTTTTTAATGCGGATTTTAGCTCAAACTCAGAATTTCAATGAAGAGCTCTATTTATGCATTTGTTTCACTCAATAGACTAAAGTTTAAATTCCCAACAATTAAAGTTATTCAGATTTAAATGGGAAGATTTCCTGATTGTTTTGTAACTGCACAATTTATAAGTCATAATGACATTCCTTCACTTTGTCCAGAAAAAACAAAGGCTGATTTATTTCCTAATAACAAAGGCAAATGGTGAGGCTGTATGAAACTGCTTCCTTATTTTCAATGGGTCAGTGCCAGGCTGTTAGGTATCTTGGAACCCCTCCTCCCATCTGTAGCCTGCCCGTGAAGCATAGTGCTCCAGAACATTGCCAATCTACAGAGCACACCACCTGTTGAGTTATACTGGAGACCCAGATGGGGTACAGCTGATACCTGCACAGTCTGTTGCAAGAGACCTGCTTGATATTCATTGTATCAACTGAGGTGACTGAAACACGGTAGAGTCCATTCATCTGTCTAATGTATATACCTTCATTGATGCTGCATTGTGATGTAAACAATGTCCTGTTCCTTCCTTATAGTAACCTAATTGACAGCCAGGCATTTTGAGTGCTCCAAAGGGCTATTGTTGTGGTGAATGCCGTAACAATAGGATTTCATATAGGTTGGGGCTTAAGAAAAGTACAATGTCCTTCTTCTGATATAAAACCAGGAATTGTGTACCAGTTGAGAGCGGGATAATGGGTTCATCATGGAATTAAGGCTTTGGCTTTGTTGAGAATCAGCCACTTGATTTTTATAGATACACTTGTTTAAAAACTTCCCTTTGAATTAAATGCATAAATAAATGCCTCTGTAGCTGTATTTTTCAAAAACCATGTCTCTTACTCCCCTGAATGATAGATTCACATGACGAGAAGCTTTAAACTACATTGCTCTTTGTCGTCAGTTGGTGGTGAATCCTCTGGTGACTTCCACAGGCACCAGAAGGAAAGCCAACAAAATCACAGCCTTCATGTGAGGAACAATTTTGTGATAATATTGCTAACAGCTCAGCCCAGAAGTGAGAGTTTTAGGCACAGGGGTTATTTAGAAATGCCCTTTAATTTTAAGTGCTTCCCATTTTTTGCCTCCCCCTGGAGACAGAATCCCTTCCTCTTCCATCTAGCAAATTGAGATACTGCCAGTCACAGGCTCTGTTTGAAGATCTGGCCCTTAACCTCTGGGGTTGTGAGAAAATATTGAAAAAGAAAGCTGAAAAAATCCTGATGTTTGGAAGGATTTCAACTAAATAATCACTAGTTAGAACCCTCTGGTAATGAGGGCATTGCAGTGCCTTCTGGTTATTGAACTTGAAGATGTTTCTCTCATGGCCGTGCATTTCATGGCAACAGAGGAATCAAGAAGAGGTGGATGGGAAAATGTCTTCAAATTTGGAATGACTACAAATCAAAGTGGACAAGGGGCTGTAATTTGTGCTACTTCAAAAAAGATGCTCCCAGACCCCAGCTGGTGTTGAACTCACCTGGTTCCTCTAGCTCCTCTTGAAAGAGCATTTTGAAAGCCTCCCTTTGTGAAGGAGCAAGATTCAGGATGGGAACAGTTCCAGGCATGGAGGAAGATATATAGCAATTGACATGACTTTATTATATGGACTTTACAGTTTTTATGTGTTTATAAATATACATATTGTATGCTTCCCTGCTTCCCTGCTCCCTGCTTCCCCACTCCCCTCTCTGATAGGCTGAAGAAGCTGCAGAGAGGAGAAAGTTACCATTCGTCCTTTCCTTCCCCGGTTCCTCCCACATTCCTCCGCCTTCTGCCTGTGTCCCTACCCCGATTTGTTCCCCCCTTTGTCTGTCTCATGCTCTATCCCATGTTCTAGCCCTTTCCCCGCCTGAACTGATAAAAAATCCCGTGCACGCCTCAATAAAGCATTCCATCTGCATCCTTACCTTGTCTGTGGACTCGTCCGTGCTGTGTCACGGCCCCATCCCCCGTCAGACCGTGGCATCCCTTCCTCCTGGGGATGTTTGTCTTCCATAATTGAGAGGATTTTCTTGAATGGTTGGGCTTTTGTCCCTTCAGAAGCCACACCCAACCCTTCTCCTGAAATCGGTGAGTTAGATTCTGTCTTAAGTAAGATAACCTTTTCACTTCTGATCAGTTAAGGTTAGTTAGGCTGGAATTCTCAAAACTGCTGAAGAAGCTTATGTATGCTTTTCCTACTGAGGAAAAATGGTTCTTGTGTTTTCAGGCAGAAATTCAATGACAACACACATAGGTCCCATCTCTAACATGAAGTGGGATGACAGCACAACCTGGTACACATGGACTCTGGCAGCAGTAAAAATCCTACAACTCCTGTTCTGCCAGGTTCCCACAGATGTAGGATATATGTGAAGTCTGTACCTTCAAGAGCATGGAAGTAAATCAAGCTCAGATATTGAGATACCTTTCTTTCTCTGTCCTATTTATGTCTTCAGTCATGTGTTTGAATGATCTTTTCCAAAACACAGCATACTTTAATTCAAATTTTTCCCACACATACATTCATGGGGTCAAAATTAATCTTTACATTGATTATTTCAATTGGTTTAGTATGTTTTAAGAGGTGGGAAAGAATGGAGTTTGCAATATTTTCCTGCTCCCCTTGTTGGTGTACTTGTGAGTTCGGTGTGCAAACAGCACCTTCCTCTCCAGCCCTCTTTCCTGTGATTCCTGAAACACACTGAAGAAGCTTTGCAGAAATATTTAGCCATCTCAGTGAAAGCTGGACTGTTGTGATGACAGCAGCTGCTAGGTGAAGGATGAACAAACTTTTTTGGCGCCGTTGCCAAGTGCATTAGGACAAGCTATCTGCAGATGTTGAAACTTGATTTGGGTGGAAGAGTAATTTCCTATTAGTATTACCGCTAGGGATGGGCAGGTTCTCATTGCCTAAATGGGCTCAGACCCAGTACGCTTGAAAATCCACTAAATGTTCACATAGTATTTATTTTGAGTATCTTTGGGAAAGGAGCAAAACCAGTCCATTTTTGCCAGAAAAAAAGACAAAATCTGTATTGAAAAGATATAATCCAGGGTGGAGGACCCAATGCAGTGAAACAGAAGCTTGTAAATAAATCCAGACCATAGTATATCAGTTTCCTAAATCTTACTCTCTGAAAGTACAGTAGGGATTTAAAGATAGGAGTTGCCATCCTCTTGCCCACCTGTTTTGAAATAAAGAAAACTTTTTTAAAAGTATATCAAGTTATCCATTTCAGCACAGAGATTTTAGTAGAAAAAGGATTCCAACTCCACCAAAAACAAAATCCCAAGAAGGGAAGGTTTGGGAAGGGAAAGAAAGGTTTGGGAAGAGGAGGAGAAGGGAGGGGAAGGGAAGAGAAGGTTTGGGAAGGGAAGGTTTGGGAAGGGAAGGTTTGGGAAGGGAAGGTTTGGGAAGGGAAGGGCTGTCAGAAATTTTAACAGTACATACAATCACACTTTACTGTAGAAGTTTACAGCTTTTACAAAGTTTGCATGGTAAGGATTAAAAATAAAGCCAACATATCAGTGCCTGCAGAGGCTTACTGGGCATCTGTGTAGCTGTGCCTTTGTATTGCTGCAGTCCCACTCGAGGAAGGTCACATGGGATGAGGCCTTTACAATGTCTATCTCTTTGCCTTATGACTTGAAAACAGTGTAATTGTTAAAGAAGCTTCTAAAAATTGCAAAATGTGAGAAAAGAGTAGCTCTGAAGCGGTCCATAATCTGTGTCAGCCTCTGATTTTTGAACATGATAATATTTTACCGACATGGAAAGTTTCTCCCCAGAGGTTAACAAAGTCTGTAACGGGTGAGTATTTCAGGAGATTTGCTTTCTGGGAATGGAAAAATATTAGTGTTGGTGAGTCTGAACTGCAAATGATAGCTGGGCCACATGTGTGCGTGGCACCAGGACCGGTGGGCTTTATTTGCAGCTGCTTATGCCCAAAAGCAAGAACATGCATATAGCGGAAGTCAAGCTCTCAAGCAAAAGGCATAGTTTAAAGGGGTAAAAGTAAGATATAGACCCAGTCATGCTTTAGTTGTCAGCTTTTATTTGAAAGTCAGCTATAGAGGAAAATGGCCTGAAGAAGAAGCTTTCTCAGCAGGAAAAGGTTGAAAATGGAGCATGACATTTATAAAACAGCCTCTGAGAGAGCAGAAACTCTCCCTCAGACATATTGCAGGTTTCCACATTTCTCTCGAGCAAAGTGCAACATAAGGAGCACACGTTTTACAGTTCTAAGCATATTTAATACAATGTTTTTACAACAGCTGTTGCTTTCACAGAACTTTAACCCCGCTGTGTAAATGCATCACAGGGAAAATACTCTGTTGTCTTGGAGACAGCCTTTGCTCGCTAGTCCTTTTCCACCGAGCTGGTGTCAGCTTTCAGCTCCGGCTGCATTCCAGGCAGGCAGGCACATCCCGGCCTCTCTCCTCTGTCTTCATTATTGGCCCCGCTGAAGGACAGAGGGCTCAGGAATCCGGGATAATTATTGGAGCTTCATACCTCGGTTTCCATCACCACATCTGATGAGAAAATGGAAAAAAAATAAGTCCAAAATAGGGAAGAGAGGGGAGAGTGGGAGTCTGTAAAAGATTTTCTGATGACCCATTTTTTTCTTTTCCTTTCTGTTATATTTTGTTTCTTGCTTATCAAGTGTGGTACAGAGCCAAATGTCTTTTTCCTGTTAGATTTAAACCAATTTATTGTGTTAGTTGAGAAGTGTTATGTTACATCTGACACTTGGAAGACCATTGGAGGTATCATGTGACAAATGCCTCCCATTAAAGGACTCAGGAAACTTCTCTTGTCTTTGAGAAAGGTGATACTAGCTAGTGACTTGACCCCTCCAGCTCTCTAGCATATGGACTCATTGCTGCAGGTAGTATGCAGCAAACACTGCCGTCATCAAATGTGTTTGTGGACGCAGCCCAAAAATGTGTTCTAAAGTTCTGTCTTTAAACTTGGACATATGAAAAAGAAATTATTGGAAACTTTTCTTAAACCCCAGAATATTTGTTTTTTCATCTCAGTTTTAGACATATGAATATGCTTGAAGTGGCTGTGCTCCATGCATGAATAAAAATAATTAAAAAATGATGCTATGAACTTCAAATGTAGCCACCAAGCATCAAAGAGATTTTTCAGAATTGCATAGCTGGACCTAATCCTGCAAGGCACTGAATGCCTGTAGATGCAGTGAGTGTTGGAAGGACCCAGGTCTTCCAAGAAAACACAAATGATCTTAAAGAACTAAAGCCTGAAATCCAACAATCTCTCTGAAAACAGTGAGGTGCAGCCTTACCTTTGACTACCTTATAGTCAACATTGCTTTCCTTCATGTGTAGGCACTTCTTTTGTTGGCAGGTAATATAGAACTAATGCAAATCTAAAAAGTATAGAATCATACAATCATAGAATCATAGAAACATAGAATCAGCTGGGTTGGAAAAGACCTCCGAGATCATCCAGTCCAACACTTGACCCAACACAGCTGTGGTTCCTAGATCATGGCACTAAGTGCCACATCCAGTCTCATCTTAAAAACCTCCAGGGACGGACAATCCACCACTTCCCTGGGCAGCCCATTCCAATGCCTGATTACCCTCTCTGAAAAGAATTTCTTCCTAATATCTAACCTAAACCTCCCCTGGCACAGCTTAAGACCGTACCCTCTTGTCTTGCTGATAGCTGCTTGGGAGAAGAGACCAACCTCCACCTGGCTACAACCTCCTTTCAGAGAGTTGTAGAGAGTGATGAGATCTCTTCTGTTATTGTTTGCTATTGTAGTTATTGTTTGTCCCTGGACACCCTCATTAATGCACAAATCCAGAACATACTCCTATCCAGACAACATTTCATGGAAATATGCATTTCAGATCCCTTGGTTTAAACGACAGTTCCAAGGCATATGCTTAGCATTAGGAGTGTCCTTTCCTGAACCAGAGCCCAGAAGCTTAGCTGTATGTTTTTCCAAAAGGTTTAAAAAGTAAAAATTCCCTTTGTCAGAACACTTGCGTGAGCAAAGACGTGAGGGAACCATTTGTAACTTTAACAATGCTTGACTGGAGTAAAAGCAAGGTCCAGCATATTGTCCTCTATGAAACAGAGCAGCTCTCAACAGAAGTAAAAGTTTTGGCTGCTAAACAAAATTACAATGGATCTGCAAATAAGCTCAGTGCAGACAAAAGGAAGTTTTAGTGCTTTAGCATTAAAGCAACATAGAGCTCATAAAAGAGCTGTGTGTCCTACAGCATTGTAGGAAACTTTTCCCTGGATTAGGTTCCTTTTTAAGCTTGTATTTTGACTTGAGCATTGCACATCACACTGGTTTATACCTGCTGATGCTTACAAATTGTTGGTTACAAAATGAGGAAAGACGGAAGATGCCTTCAGCACAGGTCTATCTCAGCTGGCACAGACTGCAGCAATGTCTTCCTCTCAGGGACAAGAGGCCCAAGAGTCAGTTTATCCAGATCTACACAACCAGTGAATATGCTCCACTTACAGTGCTTCTTTTCTAACATTTGCTTGCCCCAGACTCATGAGGAAGAGCCCTCCAGATGGAGAGCTGCATGAGCCAGCAGTGTCAAAGGCTGCTGGCAAGCCGGGGATCACAGCAGTGCCATGATTCTGAGCAAAGCCAGCAAACTCTCATATGCAATTCTGCCTGCAAGGGGCTTCCCCACATGGATTGGGCACCCAGAGCAGCAAATACAATTGCAAATGCAGTAGTGCATGGCTTCACAATCCCCAGAGGATCGTATGAAGTAGGCTTTCTACTCATCCCTTTTCTCCTGCCCCAAGAAATGGTTTGAGCACCCTCAGTGGGGTATATTGCTTTTTTCCATCCCTGATGATTTTGTCCCAACGAGACAGGAGCAAATAAAGGAAAATAAGATTGTAGATTTCCATCTTCCTTAACGTTCTCTTGCTCCTGCTTATTCTGCAGACACCAACAGGGGACAATGAAGAACATTGATCACCATGCTTTCCCTGATGCCTCCGGAAACACGGTCTGAACCCCAAAAAGTTAGGGTCAGCAGAGGGTGTTTGCCAAGAACAGTAGCAGTATCTTAGCATAGAAATTAATTTAGGAGAATGGGGACAAAGACACAAGGCAAACAGAGTGAAGTGAGCAGGATTTGGCCTCTTGCGAGATGTGTGCACAGCTGTCTGCGATCTCAAATAATATGCCCCCTAGATACAGGGGTTCATTAGGAAATAGAACTGAGAAATGCTGTCAGGCTAAAACACACCAAGGAGAGCCACTCTGATCTGACTTAACAGGAGAATTAACATATACTTGACATTTAGCTTTAGTGAAGATATTTCTTACCTCAGTATCATAGGCATGTTTAAACTGTGTCACCTCTGTCCTGGAAAGTACAAAAACTTTCCGAGTTTGTGCTACCAGCTGCATTGTTGTTTTTTTTTTTTATTTCTGCGCATTTAGAAGTGCACCTAAAAGTTATACACTGAATAGGTAGTAGGTTGCAAAGGCAGCTGCAAAAATCAGTGTGACACTTCAGTTGCTCCCAGTGAATACTCAGCAGAGGTGAGCAATTAGAAATGCATAGTACCTAATCATATCCATTTTGCTTTTGTAAAAGGGCGATCCTTATCTGGGTTCAAATGAAAACATGCATGTGAAAGGTTTGCATCCAATCACAGACTATACAATCTGACATATTTCTAGTGGATATGAAGCAGCCCAGCTGGAAATCCGAGACTCTGAATGTTCCCAAATACGCAGGAAGCCAGAATTATTAATAAATGCATTAGCAATAGGCTTGGCTCAGTTCAAAGTATTATATTTCAAAATGGGCTTAGGGATTTTTTTCTGGCTTAAAACTGACTGAAGTGAGATGGTTGTGATTTATGTAACACTAACCCTGATACACAAAATTTTTTATAGATTGCACTCCTGCATTTGCATGTAGTTAGAAGCAAAAATGTCCTGTAATTTTCAAGTAGGAAATCCTTCAATGTCAGAGTTATATTCTTGGAATTTCATCTTTGCCTTTCAATGTGTTTAGCTGGTATTTTATTTATCTCTGTTTGTGATCTCTAATATCTCCACTTTCTTATCCTCCCTGTCTGCTGTCTCTGTCGTTTTTGGTGCAGTTGCAGACTCCTAATAGTCCATGATAAAAACATCAAGACTGTTTAACTCTCTTGGAAACAGAGCATTGAAACCCATATGGTCAGTCAACATTTTTTCTTTGGTTTTTTTTTTCCTCTGGAATCCAGAAATAAAACTGGGTGTGACAGTTATTTGTAGGAAATCACTGGTAAACAATATTGAATCATGTTTTTCTGTCCTTTAGCAAAATGTCAAACTAGTAAGATTAAAAATTTTGAACCCTAGCATATGCTGAAGCATTTGCTTGAGAAAGAAAACAGTGTTTAACACATGAAAATGAAAGAAAAGCTATGCTGTTTTTGTAGTGGTATTTATGATTGAGGTAGGCAAAAATCTTGATTTTTAAAACTGAAGGATGCATCAAAACTTTCCTAGACAAATGGCTAGGTTTGAGCAACAAAAGAGAAACTATAGGAGGCTTTATGTCCCATTGTAAGATCTCCAAGTGTCCTAAAGAGGAGAGCAGAGCACTGTGCAAGGAGTCAGGTGACAGATACCTTGCTGTATCCTCGTGTCCTGGCCAGGCTCCAGCTCTGGAGCTCTGGAGTATGTCTGTGCGTGCAGTCATCTTTGCCGGTTCTTCAGCTTTGAAGCAAGTCCTTTTGTGTTTCCACACCTCACCCTGGAGTTCAGTAGGTCTAGGGAACCCCCAGGCTGCCCACTGCCTTGGCTCCATTCTCAAGTTCTTCAACACACTCTTGGTTTCTGCTGCCTGCAAAAGGGTACTGAAGAGGAGAGAGTGGCAGTGACTACCCCTCCCAGCAGCCATCAAGGTGGGTCCACCAGTCTGTGTCAGACACAGGAGCCTGCCCTACAAAATGTCCCCTGTGAGCCTGGAGCCCCAGCAGGAGTGGCTCCAGTGGCTCGGTGCTTACAGTCTTCTTTCCTGATACCTCTTCTGACAGACCAGTTCGGTAAACTTCTAGTTTGTCTGTGAGAGTTTTCCCATTTGACAGGACAGAGCTGGACATTGACATGAAGGCATTGAAAACAAATTATTTAAATGGCCTTTTCTAGGGAGATAACTATCAGGTTAAGAAAAAAAAGGAACTTTCTGGCATGAGAAACATTAACATTGGATAAGATAAAGTATTATAAGATATATTCCAGTAAAAAGCTTTCTCTTCTGAAATCCATGAAACACTGAAAGAGAAATAAATTAATTTTCTGTGGAGAAATCACCTGCAGGATTGAAGGGTCACCAGATGTGGTTTGATGCGCCACTTCTTTATTTTTTGGACTCAGTGGTCTAAGAAGTCTTCTCCAAAGTAAATGACACTGTGATTCTGTGATTTATTGGACCAGTTGCTGAAATTCTTGTGCCCTGTCACCCGCTAATGGTAACAAATCTGTCAGCTGTCTGAGATATTTGGCAAACAG